TGGGTTACTCTGTCCCTGAAGACCACAGTGTTACTGGATTCTGTCTAAACTGATGTATATTGCAGATTATAGATATCTGAGCCAATTTCTTTTTTACTGCAGCTTCAGTGAAAGACCTGATGGATCTGACTTGTAACAAGACATTGAGCAGTGCCTAAACAGTACAACATTATTAGTGTGTTGCTTTGCAGCATAAAGGTTTGAATTAAAATGTTAAACTGCAGATTTTTTTATTGCTTGAGGCAGTATCCAGAGAGATCATCATGGTTATTATGGTCACTGTTGTGGTAGAAATAGGCCATGATGTTGAAGGCTGTGTGATGATAGCTCTGGGTGCAATAAGTGATGCCTTTATCCTTGCAGTTGTCAGCTTACTGGGCTGATTTATCACTCTGTAGAGTGCTTGGAGGTCATGCAGAGGATAACAGGAGTAATCTGTTACCTGCTGTTGTTTGCTTTTGGGGCCTATGTTTCACAAATGCAGAATGGTTGAGGTTGGAAGGAACCACTGAGATTGAGTAGTCCAACTTCCCTTCTTGATGTAGGGTGAGCTAAAGCATGTTACTCAGACCTATATCCACTCCTACTTTAAATATCTATAAACACAGATTCCAGAGGTTTCTGGGCAACTTGTTCCACTATTCAGTACCCTTAAAGCAAGTAAGCTTTCTCTTGTGTTTTAATGAATTTTCTGGTCTTACAGTCCAAGAAAAGTGCCTTCTGCCTTTCTGTTGTCCTTTCATTGGATACCCCTGTCCAAATCTGTCTCCTTTTCATTCACCCACAACATATCAACACTGATAAGATCCTTCTCTTCTCCAGGCTAAGGAATCCCAATTGTCTCAGCCTCCTCTTTTATGTCAGATGCTTCAGTCCCTAAATCATCTCTGTGGCTATTTTCTGGGCTCACTTCTGTAAGTCTTGTGCTGCAGAGTGCTGCACTGGACCCGGTCCTCCAGAAGTGTCTCTCCAGTGCTGAACAGTGAGGAAGAATTGCCCCTTTGATCTGTGGTTCCCAGTGCAGCCTGAAAAACTATTGTCCTTTCTTGTCACTGGGGACATATTTCTAGCTTAGCCTCAGTATTTTGTACACCAGGACCCACAGGTTGTCTTCTGCAAAGCCACTCTCTGGCCTGTGCTCCAGCACAGCATGAGGTTGTTCCTCTGCAGACACAGTGCTTTGCATTTCTTTTTCTTGAACTTCATGAGGTTCCTGTTGACCCAAATTTCCAGCCTGTCAAGACCTCTCTCCGTGGCAGCCCAACTGTCCTGTGTATCAAGTGCTTCTCCCAGACTTGCTGGATGATTGTTGATAGTGCAGCCTGTCCCATGATCCAGATCATTAGTGAAGACAGAAAACACTATAAAACCAGATGTGTATCCCAAGTGACTGGCTCACAGCTGGACTTGGTACATTGATGATATCCCTCCAAGCCAGTCCACTTCACTGCCCACTCACAGTCTGTGCTTCCATCAGTCAGCCACCATGGGATGGGAGACAGTACTGGAAACCTTACCAAAGCAAAGATAAGCAACATTATATCAAAATAAGGATAACATCCACTGCTCTCCTCCTCAAGCAAGCCTATCATCTCAGCACAGAAACCTGTCAGGTTGGTGAAGTATGACTCCAGTATGAGGCAGTTCCATACATAGTGTTTCCCCATCTCTCCCAAAAGATGACTGAAGTAGTTTTCGGTTACCTTGCTATAAAATGCTTTCTAAAATTAGATTCATAACATGTAGGCCACTGATAGAAATTTAATAAAGCTACTACAAATTAACATCTAATACATATTGGTTACGCTGAAGTAGATCTTGCTGATCCTGCTGCCAGACAGCCTATATATAGTGCAGGATGTGCAAATGAGTATGGGTCTCTGTAATACACTGTGTTGCATAGGTCTGCAGGGCAGAGTCCCAGATCTGCCACAGAATGATGGCAGAACTGATTCCTATCCAAATTTGCCCACAGGTGCCTCTGCTGACCCTGGAGCTATTTTTAGTATCCCTGATAAAGCCACCAATCGATGCCATCTTTGTCTCCAAAGTAAGAGGCTGATACTTGGTATTTTTTTCATATGAATATCTGAATCTCAAGCAACATATTGTAGGAATTTGTACAGGAAAGTTTGAATATACTTTGTAATGAATCTGGGCTTGAGTGAGTCTGCCTTTTCCAGTCTTGTGTTGTGGTGATATAAAACACCTGCTTGGCAACAGCTCTGGGAGTTAATAAAGTTTCTGTGGTAAACTATGAGAGGCCTGAGAATCTCAAACTAAAGTTATTGCACCAGTAACTCAAAAAAGCAATTCCTAAAACTCCTGGCACATTTATCCAGAGGGTTAGCAGTAGCACAGAAATGGAAATCATTGTTGAGAGCCACCGCGTACTTGGAATTAAAACCCATCAGTCTTCTGAAGCTGAGGAAAACAATTTTCATGACATACAGATGCTTTTGTATTTCATAATCAAAATTAATCTAGGGTTGGTTTTGGTTCTATTTGTAGGGAAATTCGTATCCTCTAATCCTTATAATATACCTAAGTTGAGATGACATCAGAAGAAATAACTCACGCAGAAGCTAGGCATTTAAAATACTCTCAATGCTTTATTCTATTTAATTTCTACAAAAGCAGATTTATCTCTTGGGGGAGTGGGATAGAAAAAGAGCAAGGATGCAAACATCCTCCTCTCAGGTAGGAGCCTAAAGCACAGAAGGTGGAAGATGAGATGTGGAAATGAAAATAATTGTAAACAAAAAATGAAATTTAGCAGTTTATTTTCACTCTTCTCAATGGAGAAAGAGGGAGGAAGGCACCTAGTAAATCATTAAAAAGCTGCATTTGCTTTTCTGAGTTGCGTGTTGAACTGCAATAGCTGCCAAAGCAGGGTCCTTCTGCAGCCCTTGCTTAGGACTTCTCTTTAGGTCCTTCTTGTACCTGCCAGCAGCTTCCTTGCCTGCTGGGAGTTTTGTTTAGTTCAGAGGGGCATAATGACACCACTGTGTCCCTGAGGAGATAAACAACATATCTGCCCCTGGAACCAAGGAAAGTCTCCTAGCTTTTGTCACAGTGTAGGGTCTGCAGTTTGGGATTGATCCATGCTCATAACAGGCACAAATGATGGTCCACTGGTGCAAAAGTCACACACACATGTTGTTATATTTCCTTTCCAGGAGGGTGTCTTAACTTCATAACATCCACATTTTGGCATGCTTCTGGAGAAAGAGATGCCAGATAAACTGTGTAGCTTCTTGTGCTCAGAAGATGTGTTCCTGAGGGTTTCCTTCCCCAAAGAAATGTGTTCTTTTTCACAGCTCACATTCAAGCACAAACCCAGGGAGGTGATGGGGACACTTACTTGACAAGGAAATCTTTTTGTAAGAGCACTAAAAAATGTGAGGTTTTGTCAAAGGGCAATGAAAAAATTCTGACAACTAGAAGTATTTAAAGTCTTCCTCTAAAATTCCTAATACTATTTAAAAACTTAAGGAAACACAATAAGTTTTTGTTCTCATCTTTCAATAGTTACAACTGGAGCTGTATTTCCTAACAGGCTTTGTTAGGCCCTGTTGGTTGGTTGGACTCCAGCTGACCACTTACAGTATGCTACAAAGAGACTTTTTCCTTGGTGCTGAATTCTTCCTGTAATAGAAGAGAAATGTGAAAAAATGAATTAGTAGTGGCTGAGTGGCTTTACAGAATCTCTTGTCTCTGATCACATTTATGGTTAGTGAGCAGTTCCTGATAAACAAGTGAGACAGGGGATGGGATCCACATCACTGCTGAGGTAACACATGCCTCTTGGGAAAGCAGCCCTTCACAAACGGTATCAAACAGTTTTACTGGCAGCCTGTGGCCAAGGATGAAAAGAGAGATGGGCCCCAGGCCATGTTATTGTACAAGTATTTAATTCCTCAACATTTTCCTTGCAGAATTCCAGTACAGTGGCAAAAAGATAGATACTTGTATTTTTACTGTCTACCTCTAGACATATCTTGCAGGATACAGAATTGGAATCAGGGGTCTAGGAATAGTTCTTGTGATCTCTGGCTGGAAGTTATTTCAGGTAAAGCAGCAGACCCAGCTGATCAGAGAGGAGGAGGTGGACAGTAAAGACAGCCAAGATTGATGTCTTCTAGCATCTCAGGGAATAAACTAAGCTTATGCAGGCTTTTTGTTCTCATTTACTCTTGGAAAAAAGCAGACTAAGTTGAAACACTCTTGGAGTGTGGCTGTTAATATCCAGGGCTGCTAATTCACTTCCTTGATTTACTTGCTGGGAATTTTTGTCATTTGGGAGGGAGGTAAGTAGGAAAAGGGGGACAGGAAGTGGAGGAGGAGAAATGGCATATTTTAGATGTGGCGCTTCGTGCACAGGGAGATGTTCTGGCCAACTGCTTTAGAGGCAAAACGTGTTACCTCAACCAGTGATGCAGTGCTGGGAATTACAGTTATTGTACAGCCCTGGAGACTGTCTTATTTCCTGAGTGACTAAGAGGCTTTTTGGTGAGACTCAGGAATGATATTTAAAGGGGGTGTGCATGAGCGCTACAGATTTCACAGATTGCTTTGCACAGAGAGTTAAGCTTCCTTCAAACAGCAGGCAGACATCTGGGGGCACAGAAGTGTGACAGAAGAGAGCAATAAGCTACTGTTTAGTTGGGTTTCCACATCGTAGCCGGGTGGAAATCTTGGTGCTTAGAATCTTGCTCTTGCAAAATCCATGGCAGGGAAAGGCCCTGACCATGAGGCACTGTGGGGGAAGTAAGGACTGGGGTAGGAGGCACAGTGTGACCAGCCATAAGTGGAGCTGCTCATTTGGGGGGTTTGGTCCTTGTAAAGTAGCCTTTCTTACAGCTCTTCTCCTTTGTTCTTTCCTCTTGCTGTATGATGAGACCAGATGGGTGTTGCTCCAAAGGAGAGTTGGACACCTGGAGAAACCATTTCGGATCTCACTGGAGTATATTCCTAATGGGAACAAGAGCGTGGCAGCAGTGGATTCCTTTGCCATGAAGAACTGCAGTTCAGGTAACAGAGTATTTTATTGTTTCTAGCTCATAGTACTTTGATGCCTTTTTGCAGAGAAGCACAATTTCTGACTGCTGCAGACACCACAGAAGGAAAGGTTCTTGTCAAATAAATATTTTAAATTTTAAAAAAATAAAATAGGGTCCCTCTCAGGAAAGGATCTTTTTTCAATGTTGCATTAAAATTTATTTCAAAAAGTTAAAAACAAGTTTGTTGTTTTGGTTTGGGGTTTTTTTCCCCATTTGGAAAGAATAGCTATGAAAATTTAATTTTGGGAGAAAAGAAGCAGTATTCATCCTGGCTTGCCAGATGCATATCCTGACAACTTCACTTTTCTGAAGCAGAAAGTAGAACAGATGAGGGTTCCTAGACAGACATCTTGCAAGCCATCTTTTTTTATGTTCATGGTTACAAATTTCAGAGTTGTTTTTTAAACAACTGTGGAAAACTTGATTCTAATAAAGTATGCCTTTCTTTGGCAAAGTACCAAAGCAGTTATTGCTGAGCAGCCCCTAATAGCTCCATGTAATGTGTGGAATTTTAATAATGGGCAACCTTAAATGGGGGTTACTTTTTTAAATACAAGCTATGTAATCAATCCAAGTATGTAAATTCAGTGCTCTGTGCCAGAAGCAGCTGCATATTAGTTCTACCAGTTTTATGGACTCTGTGAATCATACTGAAATCTTTAGGTGGCATGTCAGTGAAGAATATTACTACTTATAGCTCTTAACACATTACTTTTTGTCCATTTTATTTATTTGGAGTAGTGCTGAGTTGAGCTGCATGTCCTTCTTTGCTACCTCTCTAGGACAGGGAAATGTGCTGCAGATCATACATTATTTTGGTCATTTACCTTGCTCTCCACAAAGGCCAGTTGTATTAAAGGATTTATTGCACTGTTTGTACATAAAGGTGCTCTCTAAGCTCCAACAAGGAGCCGCCTGACATTGTGCTGGAAGCAAAGGCATGTTCAGGCAGCAGGTGCCTGTTCTGCTGCTGGTGTTAAGGACACAAGTAATCCACGGTGCTTTGGGAATTCAGTGCAACAGACTGCGGGCACAGGAACTCCTCCTGGGAGCACTCAAGGGCGAGCCGGAGGTGCTGGACTGTGAGTTCTTACTGATACCAGGCACTGCTGTGCAGATGAAAGATGTCAAGTGCTGAGGCCATTAAGATACATTCTGAGCAAAAGAAGGAACAAATCTCCCATTTTGCCTGCAGGTTTGTAGCAAACAGCTACTCCTCTGCCCAGCTTATAGGACACAGTGTAAGAACAATACCACCAGAGAGCAAAACCACTTGTTCTCTTATTTTCAGTTGGTTTAGGTCACTAAGCCTTTTGTGCACAGCTGAAGATGTGACAGTGTACTTCTGCAAGCAAAGAGGTGGTGATGAGCAGCTGAGGGTGACACCTTAAGCTTGGAGAAAATAGGGAAAGCAATAAGAAAAGATTAATCTAAATCTAATTTTTCTGCAGCTGTTAGAAGCCTTTGGGCAGCTTAGCTACTTGGATACTTTAATGCCACTGAAGCACATAAAACATGGGTGAATTTGAGAAAGAAACATCTGAGAAATAGAAACTGATTTTTCTAAGCCTTTTGAAGACCATAAGCACAATTTAAAAATAAATTAAGGTGTGCACACAATCTTAGGAAGTTAGGCTACCATTTCCATAGGTGCAGATATAGAAGGAATCACAGAATATGCTGAGCTGGAAGGTGCCCATGAGGATCACTGAATCCAAATCCCAGCCCTGCACAGAATACCCCAAGGGTCACACCATGTGCCTGAGAGCATTGTCCAAACCCTTCTTGAGCTCTGTCAGCCTTGGTGCTGTGACACTGCCCTGGGGAGCCTGTTCCAGTGCCCAGACACCCTCTGGGTGAAGAACCACAAGGGCTTGAAGAAGGTCGAAGCTTGTGGTTGGAATTTGCTTTTGCATGTTGGTGATTCTATATTTATTTTATTTTGAGTTCTTTAATCATAGAAAAGATTTTGCATAGAAAAAAAATCATCTGAACTGGAAGAAATAACAGTTTATATGGGATTGAATGGGAAATTAAAATTAAAAACTTAAGTAGATTCTGATGCTGATAAAATTCGAATTTTTACAAAATTCAAAATTTAAAAATTCTAGTTGTCACTTGAATAGCTTCACGTTTCCCCATTCCCATAATAGAAGGAAAGCTCTTACAGTTTTGTCTCAACCTTAGGATTCGAGTCTGGTCCAAGAGCCCCTACAGTCAATACAAAGACTGCTTGTACTTCTATAGGTTTTGTCTCAGGACAACTAACAGGTAACATTGCCTGGACTGCTACAACCAATTGACTTTCAATTACTGACTTAAATGTGAAGCAAATTGTGTTTGTCAGTGTGTAAACCCTAAGCTATTGATTGCCTAATTCTCTTTCTTACAACTTACTATTTAAATAAATGTAGTAGCCAAAGCAAAAAAAAAAAAAAGTTGCAGAGAAGTAATACATTAATACATTAATTTAATAACACCAGTTAAGAAATGGTTACTTATACAAGTAAAGTAATTGGTACAGTGGCATTTTATAGTTGATGGTAATTTCTAGTAATAAAAATAGAGTTCATTTCCTAAGTAATGTATTGACTTATTTATGATATTTAATGGGTTTCTTACTGATTTTTTTATTGCAGTTGTAAATTAATTAATTTGCTAAGTTATTTCCAAAAGTCTTAATTAAAGCACTTATTAGTAGGCACAAGTAAATGACAAGGCATTGTTTTACTTAGCAGTGTTCAATTTACCAATTCTAAGTAAATTTTTACCTAAGGGGCGTGGAGACCAAATGCTTCTGAAATGTCTTCAAGGTTTAATGATGCTCCAGGGCTGTTAAAAGCAGTTATTTCAGACACTCAGCCTGTCCAAGAGGAAGCACTTAGCTTTCAAGTTTTCAAGCTCAGTAAGCAACATAAAGCCATTTATTTTGGAGAGGGGAGAGACTATGTGTTGTTGATTAAGTTAATGCTCCTGTCCACTCAGCAATAGCCTTTTTTCAGTAGATACTGAAAGTACACAGAAACACACATTACCTTCTGAGCTGGTAGGCAGTGAGTTCTGTAATGATCTGATGGCTGTAATATGTATGCAAATTTCTGAAAGTTGGAGTTAAGGTTCTACTAAAGGCAAAATCTTTGATCTAAAGCACAGGACCTCTCAGGAATGGAAAAATTCTGAAGATCAGGAGGTGATTTTACTGAAAGAAGAGATAGCAAAGGAAGAATAAAAATACAGGCTTACAATGCGTCTGAAGAAATATGACCAGCTGCCAGTTAGAATTTTTCATGATTCCCCTTGATAAATATTCTACCAACAGATTTATGGATCAGCTGCAGGAGATCAATAAGGGCTTTCTCCAGACAGGATTGCTTATGCATCTGAATCATTACTACAATGATATTTCTGTGCATTCGGACAAAACCTGGATATGTATCATTTCAGTTTTCCCACACACTCTCTTTTTTGCAGTTTGTCTTATAAATTAATTCGATGACAGGATGTTGTGGTTAACTGAACTTAATGAAATACCAGTGAGCCCCTTTTCAAAATGAATTCTTGATGCTTCCTATTGGAAAACTGCCTAGAAAAGTTAACCTCTTCCCAACAGAAAACTGAGATTATATCAGCATATGAGAGAGATTCACAGAACAGGCCAGGTTGGGAGGAACCTCAAAAGAGAATCTGGCACAACCTTTCGTGTGAAAGGGAGTCTAGGTGAGATTATCTAGAACCCTGACCAGTTGCATCTTGAAAACCTCCAGGGACTACCACACCCTGCCCTGGCAACTGTGTTTTCTCACTGTAAAAATAATTAAAACATACATTTTAAATTGAAGCCCCACATGAAACATGAAGTTAATAATTAATTGAAAAAAAATATATTATATAGCATTTAAATAATTTTCATTTGGGGAGAATTGCAAGATATTTACAGAAGTTTTATCAAACCACTAGATTAATTGTGACCATCGTTTATATTTCATTATTTGCTTGGTTGTATTTATGTGATGGAGGAGAAAAGGTATGAACCTTTAGAAGAGTGAGTCATGTCATCTTATACGGTCTGGAGATTGACCTCTGTCCCAAAAGTCAGGGAAACAGCTGAACAGAACAATGAACAGTCAGTATTTTGTCATTGTTATAAAACTGAAAAATAAACATGATTTAAAAAAGAAAAGTAGTCATAATTTCAGAAGTAGACATCTCTATCTGAGGCTTAGGATTAATATTTACCATAATATTACTTGTCTTATCCAGGTAATTTTTGTGTAAAAGAAGCTAGATAGTTTCCTTTGTCATTAATGCCATGGTTAAGAACCTTACCAAGCCAGAGAAATGGTCCAGAGCTAATTGAAATCAGCAGAATTATTCAGTACGTTTATAATGTTTCTTCATTTTAAAAAAATAAAATTAGGCAGATTGGCTGCATTTTCCATTGAGTGGCCTATGCTATTTATACAGTTCAGTTGGTGGGTCCAATTACACTAAGCAGGCATCTAGAAAAGCCTTACTATTTTAAGAATATTTGCTTCCAAATGTTTTGGCAACCACCTTCTTCCCCATTCACCTCTGCTGCCTCCTGAGCTGTGACTGATTATTCTGGCTTCAGCTTGAGTGCCAAAAACTATCTCTAACCTGCTTGTGTTTTAATCCTGTAGGGATCTTGTGTTGGAGAAAATACTGCTTTGCAGATGAGGGTGGTGGCTGTAGTGAAGTTAAATAATTTAAAAGTCATTCTAAAGTGAAAGTTATTTCACTTGTGGTTTGTGCCAATTTAAGTAAAATAAATTTAATGAACTTGTTATGGGGCTTATCTTTGTTTTCACTTTCATCTTTTTAAAATGAAGTTATTGTAACACTAGGAATAAAAAAAAATTAAGCAAATTTAGTTTTAATATTGCTTCCAGAAGAGCCACAGTAACTCAATTAGTGGTAGAGTAGCTTCTTGCAGTAATGAATTAGTGATTA